GTCTTCCGTTGGAGACGGAAGACCTTAATAATAATAGGGAAAAAGAAACCGAACGAAAACAATAAGGTCTTCCGTTGGAGACGGAAGACCTTAACTAGATGAGATCTCGTTGCGAGCAACGAGTAGGTCTTCCGTCCGATTTTTCGATAAGATGAGATATGATTTTGACTATGATCTTTGTTAAAAGATAATAATATATAGACTTCCCTAATTAGATTTCAATCCTTTGATTTATATACATTATCAAAGAGCTATAGATGAATTGCTTTTGGCCCCTCTGAACCCCTAGTTTGAGGGGTCAGCCCCTTTTTCTTGATATCAATTGAAAAGTCTTGTGATTTTGAAAACGTTTTGTTCAACAACTATTGAGAGATTTCTTTTCGTTGTGGAAATATGCTGAATGCAAATATTTAGGGGCCACCCCTCCAAGTCCTTAATGGGGCCGTTTGACAAAAATTGAAAGGGTGCATATTGTTTAGGACATTATTCCGACCATCTTTTGTTCAGTATTGCTTATCAAAATATTCCCCCTTTTCGAGATGTAAAGCTTCAAAGATTTAGCATTCTGGCTCCTTGTGACCCCTTATTACGTAACATATAATGGGAATCTTATCATATATTGTTGTAAATCGTTAAGATAAGCATCTCTGCTTCAGTAATGTATTACAAATTATTGATCGTTAAAGAGTTATAGATGAAAGACTTTTGGCCCCTCTGAGCCCCTAATTTGAGGGGTCAGCCCCTTTTTCTTCATATCAAATAAAAGGTCTTGTGATTTTGAAGACTTTTTGTTCAACAACTATTCAGAGATTTCTTTTCGTTATGGAGATATGCTGAATGGAAATATTTAGGGGCCACCCCTCAAAGTCCTTAATGGGGCCGTTTGACAAAAATTGAAAGGGTGCATATTGTTTAGAACATTATTCTGACCATCTTTTGTTCAGTATTGCTTATCAAAATATTCCCCCTTTTCGAGATATAAAGCGTCAAAGATTTAGCATTCTGGTCCCTTGTGACCCCTTATTACATAACATATGATCAGAATCTTGTCATATATTGTTGTAAATCGTTAAGATAAGCATCTTTGCTTCAGTAATATATTACAAATTATTGATCGTTCAAGAGTTGAAGATGAAAGACTTTTGGCCCCTCTGAGCCCCTAATTTGAGGGGTCAGCCCCTTTTTCTTGATATCAAATGAAAGGTCTGGTGATTTTGAAGACTTTCTGTTCAACAACTATTCAGAAATCTATTTTCGTTTTCGAGATATGCTGAATTGAAATATTTAGGGGCCAGCCCTCCAAGTCCTTAATGGGGCCGTTTTGCAAATATTGAAAGGTTGCATATTGTTTAAAACATTATTCTGAACATCTTTTGTTCAATATTGCTTTTCAAAATATTCCCCCTTTTTGAGATATAAAGCGTCAAAGATTTAGCATTCTGGCCCCTTTTGGCCCCTTATTACGTAACATATGATCAAAATTTTAAACAATATAGTTGCAAATTGATAAGATAAACATTTTTGCTTCAGTAATTCATAACAAAATATTGCTCGTTCAAGAGTTATACATAAAAGACTTTTGGCCCCTCTGAGCCCCTAATTTGAGGGATCAGCCATTTTCTCTTCATATCAAATGAAAGGTCTTATCATTTTACACATCTTTTGTAATACATGTTTTAACAAAATATTTACAGGTAAAAAGATATAAAAGAAAATGTGTCAAATTTTGCGAGATGTTTGTGAGCTTATTTTTCGAGCCCAGGCGAGCTTCAACGCCATTTGAGCTGGAAAGATATAGATGCCCAATTGCACATCTACAATCTTTCCTCTATCTTCACTGAAAATCTGAACTCAATAGCTTTAGTCGTTTAGGAGGAGTTTCCAGGACAAGCCGACCCTCTGAAAATCAGAAAATCGTCAATATCTCACGACCGGAAGTGACGTCATCAAAAAACAAAAAAACCTATCAAGATCAATTGAATATCTTTTACTTCTGAAAGTTTGGTGTAAATCGGTCCAACCGTTTCTGAGAAATCGCGTGCACAAAATCGGTTGGAAGAAAAATAATAATAATAATAATAATAATAATAGGGAAAAAGAAACCGAACGAAAACAATAAGGTCTTCCGTTGGAGACGGAAGACCTTAATAATAATAGGGAAAAAGAAACCGAACGAAAACAATAAGGTCTTCCGTTGGAGACGGAAGACCTTAACTAGATGAGATGTCGTTGCGAGCAACGAGTAGGTCTTCCGTCCGATTTTTCGATAAGATGAGATATGATTTTGACTATGATCTTTGTTAAAAGATAATAATATATAGACTTCCCTAATTAGATTTCAATCCTTTGATTTATATACATTATCAAAGAGCTATAGATGAATTGCTTTTGGTCCCTCTGAACCCCTAGTTTGAGGGGTCAGCCCCTTTTTCTTGATATCAATTGAAAAGTCTTGTGATTTTGAAAACGTTTTGTTCAACAACTATTGAGAGATTTCTTT